GGCACTCCGCAGTCACTGAGTCTACCACGAACTTCTCTGTATACTTGTGGTCATCTGACTGACTGAAATATGGATATCCTGCAGAATTATCCAACGTGGTTTAAAGGTTAATAACAGTAACACACTTGTTAGGCCAGCCGAAGTGACACCTGGCAGATACTGGCCTGTGTCAGCCCACCTGTCAATCAAAGCAGCCCCTAACAAAATTTAAAAAAGATGGGTTATTAAAAAAACAAAAAAAGGTTTTATGATGAATGAAGGTGATGAAGATGTTAGTGTGGGTGTCTGTGGAGACTTTGGAGATTGCTGCTTGCAATGGAGAAATGAAATATTGTGATAATCTGACAGTGTGGTAAAATTCAGTCACAAGAAATGAAGCAGTCTCTGCTCCCTCCTGCCAGGTGCTGTATGAAGACAGTCAGATGGTGACCCTGACGGCCCCCTACATAGCCGGCTTTCTGGCATTCAGAGAAACTCCTTTCCTACTGGAGGCTCTGCAGAGGCTGAAGAAGAACCAGCCCACACTCCTTCCTCAGGTCTGGACGTGCTAGAACTTGAATAATGACCTCTTAGTGCAGGGGTGGGCAACTCCAGGCCTCGAGGGCCGGTGTCCTGCAGGTTTTAAATGTGTCCTTGAGCCAACAGATGATTCAATGGCTGAATGACCTCCTCAGCGTGTCCTGAAGTTCTCCAGAGGCCTGGTAACAAACTAATCATGTGATTAAGGTGTGTTGACCCAGGGGGATATCTAAAACCTGCAGGACACCGGCCCTCGAGGCCTGGAGTTGCCCTCCCCTGTTTTAGTGACTACTGAAATGAGTTCTGTTCGTTTCTGTCAGATTAACTACTCAAAGCTACACAGACAAAGGAAAAAATATATAATTTTTTGCATTTTTATTTGATCAGGAAGTAAAACAAACTCTTTTTCCATTATTTTGTTGATGCTGATGGTTCATATTCACAATAGAGTGAAAAGAAAACATTTTAGTTTGTGCTTGTTAACCTTGGTTTGCAGTTTTGGCATAATTCCTACAGATAAGGTTAGAAACCTGAGGATTTTGGGCAAACTAAGTAATTAAAATTTCTTCAGTAAGACTATTATTATTATATTTATGGTAGTAGTACTAGAAGAAGTGATATAATCCCCATCACCAGGGCACAGTGAGCTGGAAATGTTTTAATAACCGATAAATCCTCCAAGGTGGAAAAAGTTACTTATGAATCCAACAAGACCGACAACCTGCTAACGTTACTGGATTTGGACAAGTGCTTTAAAACCTCGCATCACGTTTATGCACATGAAGTGCAGCTCCGACGATGAAGCTCCTCTGTTTGTCCTCTCGGTTTTGTTGTTTTTCTAAAGCGACGCCTCTTGTTCATCTTCACCCACTCGCTTCTGTTTGTCGCAGCCCACACGCCTCCCACTCTGTCCCTCTGTCGTCCTCGTGCATGCAGGTGTGCAGACACACACATTCACACTTAGAAATTCATGCACACACACACACACACACACACACAAGCTCAGATTTACTTCCAGTGACATTTAGCTCTGGACAGATGCAGTCACTGCTCCCTTTATCTGCAACCTTTCAAGTGAGTGTTCCTGGTGACTTATGATTCAAGCAGAAATATGTCTGCGGAGTCACCTTTGGCTTTAAAAATTCATCGGTGTGTTGGAGCTGGAAGCGTTCCAATATCAGTTTGAGAAGCTCTTGC